AAAAAAAACAAACAAGTGAAATGGCTCAGCAGGTAAAAGTGCTTGCCACCAACCTAATGATAGAGTTTGATCCCTGGGACCCAAGTGGCAGAAGAGAGAATATACTCCCCCCAGTTGTCCTCTGACAGACCAGAGAAAGTGATGCCTTGGAGCTGTGCGCATGCACACACAGCTCTTAGAAGATAACTGTTAGTAGGCAGCCATGGATACAGGACAGCCTGGGAGCCCTCAGACTGCCACACCTGTGCCTGTGACTCGGCTGTCCCCTCTCCTGTGCTGCCACACGCGCAAGCACACACACACACAGCCCACCAGGCTCCATCCCTGCCATTCTTCCCTGTCCCCAGGACAGCCAGTACCCGTGGAGTCAGAGGGTCAGCTTTGCCAAGGACATTGCGTCAGGGATGGTAAGTGACTTGCTGCTCACTCGAATGACCGTCTCTGCTACAAGGACTGTGGGAGCAGAACCTATGTGGGGAGCTTTGAAGAGGCGGCAGCGCTGCAGGTGTCCACCTAGAATCCCCCAGTGAAGGCTCGGGGTACAGCTCAGCAACAGAGCAGGTTCCTGGAGCCCATCAGCTGAGACGGGGGAGGGCCAGGGCCAAGGCAGGGAGACTGTTGACACACCTGCTGATGGCCTTGTTCTGTTTCCTCAGGCCTACCTCCATTCCATGAATATCATCCACCGAGACCTCAACTCCCACAACTGTCTGGTCCGTGAGGTGAGCAGCCTGGGCAGTTGGGTGTGCTGGAGAAGGAAGGGACCTATGAGCTGCTCCTCTTAGGGCTTTCATGGAACTAGAGGTTTGGCAAACAATAACCAGAGTGAGAGGCAAGCAGACCTGGGCTGCAGTCCTGGCTCTGCCCTTTACAACTCGGTACCAGTCCTCAGACCCACAAGCAGTGCAGGGTTTTAACAGATCAGTGAAGGGAAAACTCACTGAAAATGTAAAGCCCCAGCTTTCACTGCAGCATTCACAAAAACCACCTGAGGTAGCACAGGCTACCCAGGTAGCTCCAACAGCTGCAAATCAGGGGGTGGGCAGGGTCATCTCAGCATGCTTCTGGAAGAGGAGGCTTGGCAGGGACTTTTCAGTGGAGGCCAAGGGGATAAGAGGCCGTAAGCCGCAGGTTTACAGGCTGGTGTTTAAGAGGTCCCCAGATGTTCTACAGAAAGCAGAGGAACTGGGCCAAACAGGAGCACCTAGAGGCCTACTCCCATAATAAACTACCACAGTCAGCATCTGAACTAAGAAGGCTGAGGTAGGAGGATCAGGTCCTGGGAGCTGCAGAGCCACATCAGGACTAGGCTGGGCAACTTAGCAAGACCCTGTTTCAAATCACAAAGTGGAAAAAAAAAGGCCTGGAAGCCTAAGGACCTGGGTGAGTAAAGCATACGCCTAGAATCTTCTAACAAGGAACCAGGGTATCGCTCGGTGGTAGAGCACCTGCTGAAAATCTCCCCAGTCAGGCTGGGGTGTGGCTCAGTGGTAGAGCACCTGTCTAGAATCCCCCAGTAATGGCAGCTGCCATGGCTTGGTAGTGGAGCCCTTGCCTAGCCTGTGGGAACACCTTGGTTCAACTCCCAATAACACACACACACACTCAACACATATATAAAAGACAGAGTTGCCTAAAGCCTTTCAACCAGTCAATACAGAGCCATAATCTACACAATCCCAGGACTGTAGAGTCCCTGACTGTGGTGTTTTAGGTTCTTAGGCTCCTCGAGGCCCTGTCAGCCTGCCCAGGAGCCTGCACAGAAGACAGTACTAACTGCTGGGGTGAACCAGCAAGATGGAAAGCCCCAGGTTGTAGGACACCTCGAGGGTGAGCCAGAGAACTCCGGGCACTGGTGCCATAAGAGTGAGCTGGGCAAGCGCTCCAGGGATCCTGCTTGGCCTGGTGTCTAGATTCTTGGTGGCCTGCATCCCAGCAGAGCCTTGGTGTCTGCTCTCTCTCTGAACACTCAAAAATGACCTGTAAAGGGAGAGAAGGCAGGGCCCAAGAGGACCAGCTTATCCCAAAGAGAAGGACCCCCAGCCCCCCCCCCCCCCCCCCATCCAGTGACACCGAACACTCACACTCACCTGGAGAAAGCCTCACAGGGCAGCAGGTGGGGCAGGGCCTGACACACATCCCATACCCACCCATCCGGCCTCATGGCTAGTACCTGCAGGCCTCCATCCCCTCTGGTAAAATGCCAGCTGGTAGGTTGGTCAGGGGGGGTTGCTTTTCTTAGTTCTAGCAATGGAATCTAGGACATTGAGGCTATCTACCATTGGGACATGCCCTCAAATGGTAATCAGCCCCTCATCGGGGATTCTAGGCAGATAGGTATTGTAATGCCAAGCCAGGCCCCAGCTTTTTGCCGGGAAATTTTAAGCAAGGATTGTACTACTGAACCATACTCTAGCCCCTCAGCCTCTCTAAGCACAAAGCCATGCCTTCAGCCCCTCACTGGGGGGGTTCTTAGGCAGACTTTCTACCTCTAAACCAAGCCTCTAGCCCCTCACTGGAATCTCAACAGAAGTTTCAGACAGCTGTGTTTGCTGGGAGCATAGGAAAGAGGGTGGTCCCTTCCCCACACAGGTTCCTGGTTCCCTGGGGTGTATCCTCTTTGCCATCTGTGGGACTATAGGGAAAGATCTCAAATAGAAGCAGACAGAGAGGGGACCAGGTCCGCCTGCCTTCTGAAATTTCCAGAACAAGAACGTGGTGGTGGCCGACTTTGGACTGGCTCGACTTATGGTAGAGGAGAAGAGTCAGTCTGAAGACCTGCGTAGCCTTAAGAAGCCGGACCGCAAGAAGCGGTACACCGTGGTGGGTAACCCCTACTGGATGGCGCCGGAGATGATCAACGGTGAGTGCCAGGCGGAGGAGTCCCAGCACCGCACCCCGGCTGCGCTGCCCTCGGCTTTCTCTGGGTCCTCTATCCACCTCTCTTGCTTCGCCCTGAACGGGGGTCAGCTTCTCCCTTGGGGTGTGCTGGGCTTGTGGCCACCTCCCTGCAGCCTCGACCACACTTACACTGCCACCCTCTTTTGTTTAGTTTGAGTGGGTGTTTCGTTTGGTTTTCACAATGTATGTGCGCGCGCTCAGACATGCACGTCAGAAGACAGCTTGTAGGAGGCAGTTACGTTCCTCTGCTTGATCATAGGGTTGTGCTCTAATTGTCAGTTGACCCATCTTTTTTTTTTTTTTTTTTTTTCCTTTGAGACAAGGTCTCACTGTGTAGCCCTGGCTGTCCTGGAACTCCTAGAGACATACCTGCATCTGGGCATGCAACATTACACCTGGCCTTTTTTTTTTTTAAGACCAGGTCTCATTTAATGCAGGTTAGCCTCTACTCACTGTGTTGCCAAGAATGACGACCTTGCACTCATAATCCTCCTGCCTCTACCATCAGAGTTTTGGGATTATGGGACTGAGCTTAACATTTTTCAATTTATTTATTTGTATTTTATGTGCAGTGGTGTTTAGCCTGCATGTCTGCCTACGTGAGGGCGTCAGCTCTTGGAGCTGCAGACACTTGTGAGCTGCCATGTGGGTGCTGGGAACCCCAGTGCTTTTAACCACTGAGCCATGTCTCCAGCCCATGCTCAGGTTATGGGGTGTTGGACTAGAATCCTAGGCCTCATATATGCTGGATAAGCATTCTGTCCCAAGTACTGGAATTATAAGTGAGTGCTACCAGCTTGTCTGGCTTTGTCTCTTGTTTGTTTGTTTGTTTGTTTGTTTGTTTGTTGTGCTTGAGATAGGCCCTCTTTGTTCCAGCTGTCCTGGAACTCCCTATGTAGATCAGGCTGGCTTTGAATTCACAGAGATCCACCTGCCTGTACCTCCCGAGTGCTGGAATTAAAGGCGTGCAACACCACTGACTGCCAGCCTTTGTTTTTTTATTGTTTTCATTTTTGTTTTAGGGTTGTTTTATTGTTTTAAGACAGGGTTTTTTCTGTGTAGCCTGGCTGTTCTGGGACTCACTCTGTACACCAGGCTGGCCCCCAATTCAGAGATCTGCCTGCCTGCGTATGCACCTCCACCGCCAGGGCAGTCTTTTTTGAAAAAGGTATTTATAGCGAGGCAGTGGTAGCATGTGCCTTTAGTCCCAGCACTTGGGGAGGCAGCAGATCTGTGTGAGCTCAAGGCCAGCCTGGACAGTCAAGGCTACAGAAGGAAATCCTATCTTGGAAAACCAAAAAAAAAAAAAAAAAAGTGTTTATGGGGTAAGGATGTGGCTCAATTGATAGGGTACTCAATTGATAGGATAGCTAGGTGTGGTGCCACATACCTACAGTCCTAGTATGTAGGTGATAGAAGCAAGAGGATTGTTATGAGTTCAAGGCCAGTTTCAGCTACACAGTGAGTTTCAAGCTAGCCTGGGCTAGAGTGAAGCCCCATCTCAAAAACACCAAGAAAATTGGCATATGTTGGACACTTTTATCCTAATACTCAGGAGGCAAAAGCAGGTGGATCTCTGTGAGTTTGAGGCCAGCCTTCCTGGTCATGGGGAGTTCTGGGCCACCCAGCCCTACATAGTGAGACCCTGTCGAAAAACAAAACAAGCAGGCTGTAGTGCCTCAGCTGTCAAGAGCGCTTGCTGCTCAGCAGAGGACCCAGGTTCAGTTCCCAGCACCCACATGGCAGCTCCTAACCATGTGTGACTCGAGTTCCAGGGGATTGCATGCCTTCTGGCCTCCACAGGCACCAGGCATGCACTTGGTACACATGCACACATGTAGACAAAACATTCATACACAGAGTAAAAAAACCTAAAATATTCAGATTAAAAAATGAAAGAAAAGCGTGTTTCAGATAGCATTTATGCCCCAGGCAGACCCAAGAATGTATCCTTCACCCCAGAGGTTTCAGCGGCACATCAGACCCAATGGGGCGGGTTTGGTTGAGTTGTTGTTGCTGCTGTTGTTTTGAGAAAGGGTCTCATCTAGCTTAGGTTGGCCTCAAACTGACTTGGTAGCCAAGGATGGCCTTCAACTTCTGACTGTCCTCCCAACTGCCACAATTATAGCTGCCCTGTTTATGCCTTGCTGGGGATGGAAGACAGGGCTTCATGCATGCCGCTTGAGCGTTCTGTATCCCCAGCTGATTCTTGGTCTCCATTAGGTCGTAGCTATGACGAGAAGGTGGATGTGTTTTCCTTTGGAATTGTCCTGTGTGAGGTAGGTCACATGATCAGCCTTTGTGTCCAGACCCAGTGGCTCCTCTCCACTCTCCAATGGGCCTCAGGCCCTGGGAATGTGGCTCCCCAAAGCTAGAGCAGGGCATGACAGGATACAGTGCTCAGTCCCTGGCCCTTCCTACCTGAGCAGTCCTTAGAGCATTTGGCAGGCTTAGGGGTCCCACGCTAACCTGGCTTTGTGCTGGACAGATTATCGGGCGTGTGAATGCAGACCCTGACTATCTGCCTCGCACTATGGACTTTGGCCTCAATGTGCGGGGTTTCCTGGACCGCTACTGTCCACCCAACTGTCCCCCAAGTTTCTTCCCCATCACTGTGCGCTGCTGTGACCTGGATCCCGAGAAGAGGTGAGTTGGGGGGAGGGGGGAGGATACTCGACCCAAAGCAGCCTTGGGGAGATGCGGGTCTTCAGAAGAGCCAACCTCACCATCTGCCGACTGTCGCGTGTCTCCCCAGGCCCTCTTTTGTGAAACTGGAGCAGTGGCTGGAAACACTTCACATGCACTTGGCTGGCCACCTGCCGCTGGGCCCACAGTTGGAACAACTGGAGCGGGGCTTCTGGGAGACCTACCGGCGGGGCGAGAGCTCACTGCCTGCTCACCCTGAGGTCCCTGACTGAGCCCAGCTGGCCCTGCCGTCCCCATCCCCACCTCTGGAGAAAATGCCCTCACTAGATTCCTCAGCAGGAGGTGGCCCAGGCATGGAACCCTCAGCCAGGGCGTTGGTGCCCAGACCCATAGCCCCTGACCCAGGCCCTGACCTGCCTTTCTCCCCTCATGCAGGTGCCCCCCAGCCTCTCTGCCTCTGGCCCCCAAGTCACCAGGCTGCACACACATGTGGTTGATCACATTGCCCCGCCTTACCTCCCATTCTGGGGGCTGCCCCCTCCCTTGTCTTTGCATGAGCTAGAGGGTCGGGGAAGCTGGACCCATTCCATGCCTTGCCTGCGGCCATCTGCCCACTGTGCCTGCTGGCAGCTCTTCCCCAGCAAGACTGGGCTACAAGGCAGCTTTAGAAGTGAGCCCCTGTGATGGCTGGGCATGGAGAGTGTTTGCGGAGGGAGAGGCTATGTTCCCAGGAACTTCACATGGAGCCCCAGGCCCCCTTGGGGGAAATCTAGGTAGCAGCAAGTCTTGACAATGATCTAAACACCAAAGCAGAGAGAGAGGTCCAATCTCATGTGACCACTGGCCAGGCACTGGCCCTCGCTCTTGCTTGGGGTCCATCTCATTTCTTGATCAAAGCCACTTTAGTGAGACATAGGTACCAGTCCTCAGGATGAGCAGGGATCCCTGGAGGAGGAAGGGCAGATGATGCCTGGGATCCAGCTGACAGGGAGGGTCCAGCCCATGCCACAGAGCCTGGGCAGAGGGAATGAGGCAGCCATCCACCAGCACCCCAGCACCCCCGGGTTCATCTCAGCACCCTTCCCGGGCCTCTCCTGAATGGCTGGCGCAGCCCCGCCCCTCCTTGGGTGCCTCTGCCCTCTGAGTTATTTCTGTGTGATCTATTTTTTAAGAAGAGTTTGTATTATTTTTTCATAACGGCTGCAGCAGCAGCAGCTGGGGTTTAGGGGGGATTTGTTTTGCTTTGTTTTAGGTGGGTGGGGGTGGGAGGGCCATTTCCTCACTCTGCTTCAGTTGAACATCTAGGACGTATTAAAACTGTGAAGCTTTCTCAGTGCACTTTGAACATGGAAGAGAATCTGAGCAGACCCCAGTGGGACCAAGACTGAAGGAGGCAAGACATACTTGCCTCTACACAGTGACCATGATAGGAATGAACCCGAACTCGGAAAAATAAAATTTCTGTGCTCCCTGTGCAGGGCTGGCATCCTTGTGTGTGTCAGGGACTTCAAGGGAGCAATCAAGAATAGGGATTAAAAATCGTAATGTGGAGCAGGGTGCAGTGCCACATACCTGTAATCCCAGCACTCAGGAGGAAGAGGCAGGTGGATCTCTGAGTTCAAGGACAGCCTGGTCTACATAGTTCCAGGATTGCCCAGAGAAACGTGGGGGTTGGAGGGAGGGTGGGTTTGAAAGACAGCTCAATGGCTCTTGAAAAGAACTGGAATTAAGTTTCTGGGACCCACATCAGGTGGCTTCCCAGGCTTAATGGGGTCAAGCCACCCCCTGCTGGCCTCAAACTATAAACTAAGACCCAGTCTGGGGGAAAAAAAAAAACGAGAAAGAATAGTGTATTTCTAGCATACAGAAAGCCCTAGATTTGACTCCTAGAAGTTAATAAACTGATGCTATTCAAAAAGAAAGAAAAAAGCAGTTACTGGTCTTGCATAGGACCCAGGTTCAATTCCCAGCACCCATGTGGTGTCTGATAACTGTAACTTCAGTTCTGGGTGATTCAACACCCTCTTCTAGCCTTGTAGACACCATACATACATACATATATATATATATATATATATATATATATATATATATATATATATA